CCTGGAAAATAGATTAAAAAATTACACGATGTTTGCACTTGAAATGTTAGCAGCCAGTAGGGTACCATTATTTGCATCGTGGGATGCACTGCCATAACATTAATTTTTATTGGCAACTGTCCAGATTATACTAATAAAAATATTTGGAAGAAAAGGAGATAAAGCTGTTTCTGAAGGAAGTACACCTATCGCAACCCTCCCCTTGATATGCCTATATTACAACTACCTGCAAAGCACCCTAACATAAGAATATGCAATCATCTTTCGGGCAAACTGATTTAGTACAGAATGGAACCCTTCCAAGCAATCTGTTTGGTCGATTGGTGATGCCTGTTGAATCCCCTTCTTCAGGCTGTTAGTTGTCAGCACTTTGCATAACCTTTCATAGGCTTTGTCATCTGTTGAAGACAAACAGTAATGATCAGAACTAATATCAGTGTGTATTTGAGTAAAATTTGCTACACTCTCACAGAAGCGAAGAATGAGTTATAAAATAGGGATTTTGATTTAACAACATGGAAGAAATCAAACTTGACTGCGAGCAGTTTCTTTCCTTTTTCTTTTCTTCACAGTTAATGAGGAAAAGGTATGAGCGTTAAGCTGGGAGAAAAAAGAGCAAGGGCAGAGCCCACTTTTTCTCGCCTCTTTCATCTCACGCCTTGAGTCACACACTAAATCATTTTTGTGTCTTGTGCATTTCACTTTGCAGGCTAAAAAAAGAAAGACTACTTGTAGTCTAAATCAAAACCACATTAGAAAACAACTGACCGTCACAAGTGTTAGAGTGGGAGATTTTCTCACCTGTCTGAAGCCATGTCCTATCATTAATCTCTCCATGGGCACATTTATTAAAGAGAGGATCGTCTAAGTCCGAATGTTTGTTAACAATGTGGCTTAGGAATGATTTAAACTTAGCCCAGATGATTTTTCCATTTCCACTTGGTGTGGTTGTAGCACTCCAGTGAAGATGCTTTGTGCATGGCTTTATCCACTCCTGCTCATTGTCTTTCTCTTTTGCAAGTTTTGAAATTAGTTTCTTGACCTCTGTTTACAAATTAATAAAAACAAAAATTATTGATTTATTGAAGAGAGGTTCAAACCAAAGCCTATTTTGCCTCCTACAACTGTTATTATTACTTGCATAGCTGTTTTCTAGCTAAAACCTTAAACCCAGTACTATAAAAATGTGAACTGGATATGACATGTGCATTGTTGTAAGGGTATAATCTTCAATGATTAAATCAAATACAGATGTTATAACTGCTTATGACAACTGTTATACATGTAAAAGCAACGGAGAAGTTATTAGATTATTAAATAAAAATTCTAACTAATGTCATCGAGGCTTGACCCATAAGCTTTCTGTAATTTTTCTCAAGATCTCTAAGTAAGACATGTTGCTGCTCAAAACACAGTGGGGAGCTGTTGGAGTCAGGGTAGATGACTAAGTTTTAATCTCACTTTTCTTTAAATGCCAGAGTTCAAAGTATTGTGTGATGTGTTTGAGGACTGTCTTGAAGTAGGCTGCAATCTGGGTGTGACGGCCTGAGATAAAGGTGGTTATTACAATGCCACATCCAGCAAGGAAGTTCATGCACAGCTGAAAACCCATGAACTCCATTGCAGGGTTGTTGCCAGCTTGATTCCTCTGAAAAAGGAAAATATCAACATAATTTGGTTTAGTTACCTTAACCACTTTGCAATAATTGCATGTGTTCACAATACTTTGAAATTTACTGTGGATCTGAGAATGTAAACCTAGCAAAAATTTTTTGCTTTGCTCAAAAAGATAATACTATTGTAGCCATCCATGTTGTGCATACCTGTACAAGTGCAAAATGGATTATGGATGGAATGGCTGTACAACATAATATGGTGTATACACCAAACTTGGCACAGTGCCCCATACTGTCGTGACACCCATCGCCTGCAAGTACAAGGCCAGTACCAAGATCCTTCAGCTTTGCCAGTAGCCTGGTTTGATAATCTTTCCAGAAGAGGTGCACAGTAGGGAACAGATGACTCTGAAAAGTATGAAAAAATGAAACACCAGATATTTTCAGAACAAAGAGGGAATTGAGTGTACTAATATAACAAAAATTATCTAATATTTTTTATTACAGACCTGTCTAATGAACAGGTGCTCCGTTACAAATTGAGACAAAACTAATGTTATTGCTGGTTTGCAGCTGACGTCATGGCGACCATGCTGGATTACAAGAACAAAATTTTATCTCTTCCCTGGGAACTAAACTCTTTTTTCATGCAAATTCTTGAAAAAAAATATTGTTTTGTCATCTAACATGGCAGCTTTGTTACATGGTTGCAAACCAAGAACAATGATTCTTTTTTGGTTTCAGCACATCACAACACAAGGTAAATGTTAATTTTGACTCACTCTTTGATGTTTGAAGAAGGTGTTCACCAATACACATGCCAAACCCATATGGTTGAAGATCTGTCTTATTTTTGTTATTGAACCACCATCGAACAGGATGGACATGCAAAGAAGAAAATTCCCAGCAGGAAGTTTCGTGCCTGGCATATTTGGCTGGCTGTGCCATGTAGATTCTGCACAGCATCCTGGATTTGTGCAGACAGTGGTGATGACAGCTTTGGTGCCAATCTGTTGAGCTTCAACGTCTGGTGGATTCTTGCCCTTGCAAACATGGCACGACTGGAACAGCAACATCAGCTGTGATAGAAAGACAATGAATTTCGGCTCGGTCCTAAGGTTGCCATCTTTTGGTGATTTGACTCTGAAAGCAAATATAAAGGCTTAAGCTACAATCGTCAATAGGTGACCCTTGTATACAAGCTTGTTATTCTCAATATCAAGGAATGGTGGTCAGCTATCATTTAGCAAAAAAATTATGTCTTCTAACCGGGTCGATTTAAAAACTTCGCCAACATCTGAATCCCCAGCGTCGCCATCCTCCGCACTCTCACTGGCTGGTTCATAGTTGGATCCAGAAGTAAAATCAGGTTCTTCTTCAGTTGTTTCTGTATCGGTTTCCTCATCAGCGTATTGATCTTCTTCCTCTTCTAGATCCCCCTCTTCCTCTTCTTCCTCCTCCTGCTCTTCAGCACTCAATTTCCTTTCACTCTCTTCATTTTCATTCAGTTTCTTTGATAGTTGTTGTACTAAAAGTGGAAACAAATAAAACAGTTATGCTGGGTTAGTAGAGAAGCATTTTAGGTGAAAAAGATAGCAATGCATGTCACAAGATCTGAAAAAATGTCCTAAAAATACCAAGGCATGAAAATGTTCAACCCTGAAAAATACTTCAAAACATAAATAGACCCCCAAAAAATAATATGCCAGAAAAAACTCACTACTCACTACCTATTTGTTCTGAACATTATTTTATTATAATTATGGTTACAATAGTACAGGTGCTCTGATTGACTGCTGCGCAGGCATTATAATGGTATAAGTCATGAATTACTTTTGTCAAGTCTTATCTTACACTACCTTTTTTCTTGAGGTATTTATTTTTTGCAGTCTGTCTCTGGAGGGCCTGACGTGTAGTTGCAAGCTTCCCTTGCAGAACCTCTGTTTCTCGTAGTAGTTTGTTTTGTGTCGAGTCAGTTAGGGTTTGCATAGACTTATGTTGTACCTTTAAAATTAGCCATTTTGTCACACAAGATCTGAATACCAGTTGCCATGAGTTGTGAAATTGAAGTTCTAAAGTAGGTCTTTTAACTAAATGCATGTACATTTAGTTCAATACTACATGTAAATCAGGGAGACCTCCAGAGGTTATAACATGCACCTTGATAGAGCGGTTTTCACTTGACTGTCGTAAAACCAAAACCAAAGTAAATACACTAGCCAACCAAAGGGCGTAGTAAAAGCAAAACCAAAACCAAAACCAATTACTTTCGACAGTCGAGTGAAAACCGCTCTATAATTTTGTATTAGCTTGTTATCATTTGTTGCATGAATTTAGCTTGCATGTGGTTCCAGACTGTTGTCAGGACTACATGTTTACTGTCATGCCATTCATGGAACATGACTACCAACTTACATTTAGATCAGGAGTGGTGTCCTGACTTGTACTGGTCCCTGGTTCTGTGCAACTCACCTTAAAAAAAATTCGTGTTAATAATTTATCTGGGCAAGATATGTATCACAGAGTGTATTTCACAGAGTCATTGGCAGAAAAAAGGGATACATGTACATCAACAACTGTGAGGAAAAACTTACCTTTAGATCAAGAGTGGTGTCCTGACTTGTAGTGGTCCCTGGTTCTGTGCAACTCACCTAAAAAATACCTGGTGTTAATAATTTATCTGGGCAAAAAAAGAGTGTATTTCACAGAGTCATTGGAAGAAAAAAGGGATACATGTACATCAACAACTGTGAGGAAAAACTTACATTTAGATCAAGAGTGGTGTCCTGACTTGTAGTGGTCCCTGGTTCTGTGCAACTTGCCTAAAAAATACCTGGTGTTAATAATTTATCTGGGCAAGATCTGTATCACAGAGTGTATTCCACAGAGTCATTGGCAGAAAAAAGGGATACAGTCATCAACAACAGTAAAGAAAAACTTACATTTAGATCAAGAGTAGTGTCCTGATTTGTACTGGTCTCTGATTCTGTGCAACTAACCTGTAAAAGATACCTGGTGTTAATAATTTGTCTGGGCAAAATATGTATCATAGAGTGTATTTCACACAGTCATTGACAGAAAAAAGGGATACATGTACATCAACAACAATAAAGACAAACTTACATTTAGATCAAGAGTGGTGTCCTGATTTGTACTGGTCTCTGATTCTGTGCAACTCACCTATAAAAAATACCTGGTGTTAATAATTTGTCTGGGCATAATATGTATCAGAGTGTATTTCACAGAGTCACTGGCAGAAAAAAGGGATACATGTACATCAACAACAGTGAAGATAAACTTACATTTAGAACAAGAGTGGTGTCCTGACTTGTACTGGTCTCTGGTTCTGTGCAACTCGCCTATAAAAATATCTGATGTTAATAATTTATCTGGGCAAAATATGTATCACCAGCTTACTGGCAGAAAAAGTAAAGAACAGCTTACACTCACATCAAGAGTGGTGTCCTGAGGACCAGTCGATGGCTCTAACTCAATGGCTGCGCACGACGAATCCAAATTGGACATCCTTTCTTTGGCCGATCTGACATTCTATAAAGGAAGAATACGTCGCTCATAATTTGATATAATAATTGTCTAAACCAGGGTGACAATAGCAGGTCTAATAGAAGATTACTTTCCATTCTCTTTTGTCATTTTGTTGGGGAACCTTGATGCTCATTTTCACTTGCTCTTTTTCCAACATGGATGGTTGGCTAAACGCAAACTCCAAATTCATCTTCCCTAAGGAGTCGTTTTAGATTAGACTGAAAAGGTCTTGTAAAGTCTTTGGGCTTGAAATGCACTGAGCATATCGAAGAAGTCTTTCCCGGGGTCCAGTGTTTGGGCGTCTCATTGATGAACTTTATCCATCGTTGTCTTCTTCAGCGGACTTCAGGCCTCGGATCGTTATCAGAAGGAATCTTATGCATGCTGATTCCTTTCTCTACATTTCGAGAGTTGCTGCATCCAAAAACCACACATTTTTCAACCATTTTCTCTGTTTACAATTGAAGCATTACCGCGAATCTTCGGATATTTTTGCACGATGTCCTTTTCTTATGTCATGCTCCATATGTGGACACATTTGGCCGAGTGGGGGACTAATGCGAACGATAGGTGAAAATATTGACAAGACTGCCTTCACTTCTAGCACTTGTAAAAAAAAAGGATTCAATATTTCTAAAAAAATTTTTCGAAAATGAGTTCTTGAAAGATATGGAAATCTACCAAAAGAAAACAAATTGAAGGGTTAGGAGCACTTTAACCTATAGGAGGACAGGGAACACGAACACGAGGCCGACTGGGACTGCTTACTAGGCCGTAAATGGTTTTAAAAACCCGCAAAGCTCCGTGTAAGTGGCGGCATAAATTTATTTGCAGCTACAAAGGAAGGCTCCAAAGCCTGTTTTGAAGGTCAGGGTTGCCTGAGGAGGGTAATCAAGTAATGCCTCACTTACATGTTCACCATACTCGGTATAAGAAGTCAAATTTTCTCTCCTTTCTACGACCATACCACAGGGAGAACACCGGTTCTCGTCTGATCACCGAAGTTAAGCCCTGTCAGGTGGGGTTAGTACTTGGGTGGGTGACCGCCTGGGAATACCCCATGTTGTAGGCTTCTTCTTTTCTCTTTATTTTGTGTGGAATTTTTTCATTGTTTTTGCTGTTTTACCCCTGGCTGGAATGTACCTCTGCTGTCAGTTCGAAAGTTACGCCGAATTATTCTTCGAAGTGATCAAGTTGTGGGGTAACTTTTTTCGTAATAACATAGCGTGGACATAATCGCGCGTTGGTTCGAGAGCATGCGGTAATGTTCCATTTTGCTCTGTGACTTCAAATCACCGCTTGTGACATCACTTTTTTCAAATCACAGCTTTCACAAGTCTACCTTCGCTTTTAAGTGCAACTACACGCCAGAGAAACAAGGGAAAAGGCCAAATACAACACAACACCGAGTCCGTTAGCATTTGTTATTAATGGCTCGACAGTTTGAATTAAACGCCGAAACCAGCACGTTGCAGTAAAGACCAATGAGAGAAAGGGCGAGTTAAATATATACAAGCAAACAAGTTCTGATTCAAAGCTGTGAGAGAAGTGTACTCATGGTATAGACGGATGTTTATAATCCTGCTTGCTTGCTTTTCAACTGTCGACCATCCTCTTTCTTGAACATACATCTCTTGCGACTTTCACTTCACCTTTGAGAGTAATTATTCACGGAAAACGTTTCAGTCTCTACTCTCTACTGAACTGCTTTAAATAACATGGTAGCTAAGCTCGCAACCAACTTAAAGCAAACATATTTCAAGATAATTTACCTTCTTCCTTGCTCCCCGGAGACTTCTCCTCTTTTCTTTATTCCGCTCTCTCTCGTTCCGTCATTTATTTTATTGTGCGTTTTTGAATAACCTGTGGACCGCGCTGAATACAATAATTACTACAAAACCGGTGACTAGTGTGAAGGCAGGTCCCCACTGCCAGAAATTATACGGTCGAGTTACCCACATTTGGGATAATGGCAAGGGTCAACCCAATCGAAGTGCAATGAGAGGGCCTCACCTTGAGAGGACTGCTTCCTTGATCACAGTGCCTCCCGCGTCAGGTAAGTTTTTTTGTGTTTAAGATGAATGGCCAGCCCCCAGTAGGGTGGTGCAATGCTGCTAGACAACAAAGTCTAGTACCATTTATACAAAAACGGGGCAGTACACCAGTACAGAAACTGACTGGGGGAATCGAACCCCCACCCCTACAAACATAGTACAGGACAAAACGCAAACAACACAGACATATACAGGACAGCGGAACAAGTTAAAAGACGCGGGCACTAGACTATCTAAAAAGCTAAAAACATACTCACTCAAAACTCCCAAATGGAAAAATAAAAGTTAAACAACACTCTCGCTAAAAAAGGCCTAAAAACACACCATACAAACTCGACACGCTAAACACACTCACTCAAACAAGATCCACAACCAGTACAACCAACAAAGGTGACCAGAAAGGAGAGAGACACACTCGCTCAAAAAAAAGAAGCAACCATTGCAACCAACAAAGGCGACCAGCGCAAGAGCAAGACCGTAGAAGTGGACAGAAGGATTCCCATCCGAGATGGAAGCAATAGTGCCATGAGCACCCCACTGAAGGACAAAGTAACAATGTCGCCGAGGGGAGTGGAAACGGCGAAAGAACAGAGGCAAGTGAAAAGGGATAGGACATTTGATACTCTCGATGACATAGATCGCACTAGGAGGGGCATCCCGAAAACGAAAATCATTGCAAGCCATCCAAATGTAGAATTTACCAACATTGATAGCGTAGACAAGGAAAAGAGGAACAACACAGAGCTCATCCTCCGAGAAGCCAAAAAGCGCATGGCGACACACAAAAGGAGGGGCCAAAGGAGCGGCACGAAAGAGTAACAATTGAAGCCATGATAAAACACTAGAAGCCAATGGACAATAGAAGAAAAGATGGTCCAGAGACTCCATATTGTGACCGCACAAAGAGGCAGTGGACAAATCATAACCAAAAGAGGACAAACGCTGGGCAGTGTAGAGGACCCCATGGGCAATCTTCCAAGACAAGTCAATGACAGTGTTCGATATCAAAGAGGAACAACTGATGCCAAGTGGAAGGCCAATAAAGCGCACCAAAGACAGGAAAGAACTTCTCTTCACAGTGTGGTGAAACAGCGTGGTCAGCCAGAAGCATAAGGTACGTAGACTTGGTGGTAATTGCAGAGACCTGAGCACCGACAACTCCTGTGCCAACATACAGAACACCCGAAGGAGATGCAGAACCAGCAGCCAAACGCCAAGCACAGAGCAGAGAAACATAAAAGGGTGGCAAATTGACATCAAAAACAGGAGGATTAGCAAACACTTGGACAGGAGAGAGACCCAAGTGGAGGTTAAACCAATAAACCAAAAAAGAGACCCATGAGTTTGGAGAGCTAGCAATCCTCCTGATCCACTGAAGAAGCAGGGCAGACACTTTCAAATTAACATCAACAACTGAAAAACCACCACAGCAATTAGGCTGAACGACCACAGCACAAGAGACAAGGTCAGGCTTACCCTTCCAGAAAAATTTAAAGACCAGAGAATTGAGCTCACGGAGAACCCAAGACGGCATGTGAATCAGGGAACCAACATACCAAATATGAGATAAAGCCAGGGCATTAGTAACAAGCACCTTACCCCTGAAGGAAAGAGCACGTTGACGCCAGGACAGGAGGACATTCTCAACGGCAGACGAGACGGGGCCTCCAGTTGTCCTCCTCAAGATCGAGAGGACCCAAGAAAACCTGTAGGACCTTAATCTTCACAGAAGACCAGTCAATGGCCACAGGAGAATCTGAACGGCCATTCCATGGACCCTGCCAAAGGCCCTTAGACTTGCTTAGGTTGAGTTTAGAGCCCGAGCCCCTCTCATAAAGATCGTATCTATCAAACACCAGAACAATAACTTGGTCAGAGCTAGCAATAACCGAAGTGTCATCAGCGTACTGAGAAAGACAAGGCAGGGGCGACTGAAGGCCAGGAAGAGACAAACCAGGAACATTCGAGTTTGCCCGAATGTTACAAGCTTAAACTTCTGCAACCAGAGCATAAAGAAGAGGAGACAGGGGACAACCCTGCCTCACACCACGGCATAAAGGAAAGAAGTCAGAAATATGACCATTTACATTAACAGCACTCTGCACCCCAGAATAGAAGAGATTCACCCAACCAATGAACAAGGGACCGAAGCCCATATGACGGAGAGTGGCACACATGAAATCCCAATCAACCCTGTCAAAGACCTTTTCCTGGTCGAGAGAGAAGAGCAACAGGAACATCGGACAAGGTGGCGTAATCTACAACATCCCTAAGGAAAGCAACATTCTCACCAATAAACCACCCAGGAACGCCACAAGTCTGGTCCTTCTCAACAACAAGATGAATTACTTTGAGCAATCTCCCAGCAATGACCCTAGAAGCGATCTAAAATCACAGTTCAACAACGAGATGGGACGCCAATTTTTAGGGTCCAAGCGGTCACCTTTCTTGAAAGAGAGAGAGATCACACCACGGCGCTGGGACAGTGGAAGACGGTCTTCACTGAAACAAGAGTTGAGCACCAGGAGAAGGTCCTGGCCCAAAACAGGCCAAGATTTTAAATAGAATTCCATCGGCAGGCCATCAGAGCTCGAGGCCTTACGCCTGGCCATGCCAGAGAGAGCAGCAAAACATTCCTCCAGAGACAGGTCACCCTCACAAGAACTAGACTCGTCCACGGTGAGAGAAGACAAAACATGAGAAAGAAGCTCCTATTGGGCATGAGGATCGCAAGGCTGAGCAGAGAAAAGCTTAGAATAGAACGAGGAAAAAGCCTCCAACAAT